CTGCTTAGATATAGAATGTAAGTTATTAAAAAAAAAGTAAAAAGGACAACATATCACAATGTTGCAAAATTACAGAAATCATAAAACGATTTCACTCTCTCTCTCTCTCTCTCTCTCTGATTATGTTCTAATGATAAGTGAAAATTGAAATATTAATTGAGCTTGTTTTATTTGGATAAAATTTGATGCATTAAATAAACTTAGATTTAATCAAAGACAAAAATATGATTTTGTCAAGTTTTAAATCAATTCATTGAAGCATAAGAAAGCCAAAGCATTCCTTCTGTTACTTCCCCCTCTTCCCCCCCCCCTCCTCTCCCCCCGGCCATCCATTCTTCTCATTATCATCTTCTCGAAACAACATCAGAGATTGTTTATGAGGTAGTTGTTGTTGTTGTAAAATTGCTTAAGAGTTAAGGCTACAAGAGTTAGAGAGACTAATGCTGCTATTTTTATATCGGAAGTATGGGGCAAATTACCGCCCCATTCTATTTTGTTAGTTTTCTTAAGGAACAGATGATCCGTACATAATAAAAAACTTGTCTTTTTACTACAACAATTGATCATTTCAATAACAAAATTCTTTTCTTATTCACCTTTTGTTTTTTCTTTTCCTTATTTATGTTATTATTTCTATGAAATTTTAACAATTTTCCTTTCAATTGTATTGTTAAATAAAAAAAAATTCAAACTATAATAAATTGTTTTTTTCTTCTAAAATTAAAATTTCTAACCAACCCCTAAAATATTTGTCGTTATTCTTCTTTCCAACTCACTTTTCCTTTCTTTTTTTTTTTTGTTTTTTGTTCAAAAATCCATTTGCGTTTGTTGAGGGGTCTTGATTCCAGCAGAATTAGCATCTTTAATGCTATTTCGGAGCGGTACATACCCGAAACATATGGCAAACAGCCACTTTTATGGATTTTTTTTTTTTTTTTAGAATAAATATATTGTTTTTGGAAAGGTCAATTCTTGATTAGAAATTGGAAAAGATTGATTTTCAACTCCTTGATTAAATCAGTCTATAGATTATTAATAATTATCTTTATCCTGTTGTATGCGACAACTGTCGTGATATGGAAGTACAAATGGTGAGATTTCATGCTAAACATGGTTAAACATTAGAGCCTTCTTATAAAAACACTCACTGATTCCAGCTGTTCAAACATTTACTTCAATCTGTCAGTCGGCGAAAATTTTACTGTAAAGTTATTATTCGATTTTCGTACATTCAACGTCAAAATTTAATTTCAATACAAAAAATTTGGTTTTTATTTTAAATGTAATTTTTTAAAAAAAGTGTATTTTCAAATTCTTCCTTTTAGTTTCAAAAAATCCTTCATTGGAAACTATTTGCTATGGGAATCCAAAAAAGCATTCCAAGATGTACCGGGATTGCTGAAACAATACTGCTGAGAATATCCCAGTGGTATCGCGCAATACGAAATTTTTAACTTTACATTATCCGATGACAATTGAGCAATACAACGAAATGTCATTTCAATGATAAACGATGACGATTAATGGTTGTCTCAATAAATGCAATTCGACATCCATGACTTCTTGAATTTATTCCCAGTAGACAAACTATGCGACACAAACATTTAGGAAAGATATATTGATCAACAAAAGCACCTGGCTAATCTTCATACTTAAAAAATTCTCAAATTTGTTGATTCTGAAAAAAGTAAAACTGATTTTTTTTTAGCATTGGTCAATAAATACCGCACCTGGATTTAAGTTATTCAATTCGATTAAAATACAATGGAACATTTAAGGTACTGCAATTACCATTGCTTCAACAAGTGGCAATTGACAACGATTAGATTAATCTATTTGAAATGCTCGTATGCAATGCAAATCAACCCTACTATTTCAGAATTTCTAAAATTCAATAAACTTTTTTGGCACAAAGCTAATGATATTTAAGAAGAATAAAAAAAATTGATTTGTTTTTTTGTCCAAATTACATATGAAAAGAAGTATTCAGTAGACGATTTTATTCATTTAAAAGATTTAGAATTTCATATTGATCAATGATCTGTTACTGATTATGAATTGTGATAGTAACTGTTATCAATGAGAAATGAGGATCATCGTTTCGAGGCATATTCCTTCATGTTTTTTGTTGATTTCTCCTATTGACTTCAAAAAATGTCCCTTTCCTACCACTAATATCCTTTAAAATATGCAAATTTAATTTTTGTTTATGCCATACTAGCAATCACACAGACATTTCTATTGCTTCATATTGTTCGAATTTATTTTTTTTTTAAAAAAAAAAAAGCGTCATTTTGATAACTATACCAAAATATAAATTAACTTTAGCCAAAATTTTAACTTCCGGTCATTCGTTTTGACAAATTAATAATATTATGGTATTTCTCTTAAAATTTGGCCATAGTCTTAATTTGAAGCAAAATTTAAGCTTACATTTATGGATAATTATTCTGTAAGAATCAGTACCATCCATTAACTTTTTATGAATGCATATGTTATATGCGATTTTTTTGAAGGATAAATTTGATTGCCATTTGTAGTAAAAATAGGAATTAGATGCTTGTCACAGATCAACATCTAGAAATTATTGATTAGTCCTGATTCAGATCAAATCAATGACAGATACTTGAATTGAACCCTAAATTAGCTTATTTTTTGCTCATTTAGCTCAATTCTATTCAATTTATATGTAGCCTAATTTAACTTCAACTGATTTTAATTAGATTCAACCCACTATGTGATTTCATTTCATTTCAAACTCTCTTAATTATTTCAGCTCAATGAAATTCAATGGTTTATTCATTTGCTAATATTCTACTGCCTTGTAATATAACGAAACTTTAAAGAATTGTTCCCCATTTTACTATTTCACGTCACTTACGTCATTTATTTTCATCTTGATATTGGCGCAAAAGTATGCATTGCTTAAAATGTCTATTATTAATGGCGCAAATATGGTTTGGCTATACCCATGACTGCCAGAAATTACGTCGCATAAATCGAATACCATTAACAATCGGCGTCTTCTTGCCATATCAATACAAGCGGGTATTGGAACTTGCTGTTAATACCGCTCTGGAACATATTCACAATCAATCTTGTATTCTAAACGATTACTATTTGAATTTACACTTCAAGGATACTGAGGTTTTGCAATATTTTTCTCTATCAATTTTACTGATTTACCAACGTTATCATAATTCTTTTTACCAATGTTCAAACAATTTCCAATACAATTTCAATTTTAGATCAAAGGATATATTCATTAGGATAAATTTTTGAACTTAGTTGAGTTATTTTTGGAAAAATTCTAACTGATCATTCATAATTTTTGCTTCTTTCATCAATTTATAAAAGAATAAACAGAAAATATTTTCAGAAGTTTCAGAAGTAAATCAGTATTATGTAACAACAAATTGCATTAATCAATTTAATTATTTTATTTTTGAATTTTGTTTCAAAAATTTATTAGAATGAATGAAAATGCTCGCACATTTCAACTAAATGGAAATTACAAACAATAAAAAATTTAGTTTTCGAGAAGTAGTAATAAATTAGTTGAATTTATTTATTTCTCTCTCAGGAATTTCAATCTTCAATGATAAATTCAATTTGTCAGCAAGAAAATAGATTTTTGAAATATTAAAAGGTTTATGATGTAATGAAGCCTAAAAGTTAAAATTTTAATTTGGTACTTTTTTCTCAAGAAATCACTGTATCTCGAGACATTCCTTTTTATCTTGCTTGAAAAGTTGCGGAAATGAAATCTTTTTTTTTGTGAGTTTTAGAAATTCCCAAAATTCATACTGTAAGTTAACTTTCAATCTTATAAGTTATTCCTAGGTCAATCACCTATTTTCTAATGCATCTATACTGAAATTCCATAGATTGTAGTGCAAAACATCATTTGGAATGAAAGCACTGTTCGAGCTGATGAATGCACATCCACGACCTTTTGCACTTTTTGGTGATGCATGCACGAATGTTAACGAAGTTGTTGCTATGGCATCTAAGTATTGGCATATTTTACATTTGTCATATGCTGAAATACATGCAAAATTTGCCACCGCGGATGCTCAGGCGGTTCGATTTTAGCAATTTATGAATAAATGTTCAACCAAGAAAATGCTGAATAGCAATCTGAAACCGTTACCATCATATCATTCTTATCAATCAATCATCTAACAAAATCAGTACTGACCTGCCATTAAGCACGAAATCAACTGTGACACATGCACGAACATCAATCCAATTTATTAACAAAACTACAAATTTAATAGAGTAAAGGTCAAAGTGATTGAGAGAAATTCTAAATGAAATTGAAATTACAGAATTCTGTAAAAATAAGAATTTCATGCAAAGAAAAGCATGTTATCTTCTACTTGAAAAATACAATGATTATAGAAGTAAACCCAACAACTACTTATCCTTTGTTGCCGCTAAACAGATTTATTTTGGTTATTCGATGGTCATTTTAATGATAATTTTATCAGGGTATTAGTGAGATGCTAATTATTTTTACTGATAACACTGCTATTACTGGAGAAAATATGATGGTATCACAAGACATCATTATAAACAAATCCAATTTAGTTTAATATTTCAACTACTTGAAGTTAAGAGAGAAATTTACATTACCAATTGAAGCGTTACGGTAGAGAGTTGAAAGTATATCAAGAATATTTCCAGTCAAAAAATTGACTTCAGGAGATTCCTAAAATCTACTTTTGGTGCAAATAATGATGAAATAGATTTTTGAAGTAAAAGCATTAAAGATTAGCAATATTCTCGTTGACAATGAATTTCTTTTGAATCTTTTAATGTATATCTAAAATAATAGGAGACAGGGAAAATCTATGTTAAATAGAGTTTTTTAGAATATTATTTTTGGCTTTTGCTTATTAGGAGAAGAAGCCATAATGGCATGCAATGACTAATCATTTAGGACGACTTCGTATTGTTATATTGAAATTTTAGATGTATCCAACATTTTTTCGTATGGTGCCCGGATATCAGAATTCAAATTTAGCACGATGTCATCTAATTTATCAATTTAATTGGACTCGTGTTGGTACACTGAAACAAAGCGATGATCCACGTTTTGCACTAGTAAGTGAAAATAGCAAAGATTTAATGGAAGAATGACAACTTAATGAATTCACAGTTGTCGAAACTTGCCGAATTTAATTCAAAATTTGCTCTGTCTTGAAGGAGGAATAATTGAAACTATCAAATTTTAACGATATAATTTACAAATGGAAGAAATGAATGGACAACCAATCAAATCAAAGTTTTAAATTTTGCAAATAATATTTATTAATTGGCTAAGAGTATCAGAGTAAGAAGTCTATTCTGATAGCTCTTTTTCATTTTTTTTTAAAGCTTTTTTTTATCCTTTAAAAATCTCCAATGTCATCCCAATCTCATATGCACAACAACATTCCAAGCATTAAATTACAATCTCTTTCCTGTTTAAAAATCTTCGATCTGTTTATCATTTACTTTAAAGCCACATGAATCACTAACAACACGACTGGAACACGGATTTGGTGTTCGAGTGATATATACTGCTGGTATCACACATGATGAAATTCAAAATATCGGTTATGAACTTAATGAATTAAAGGTTTTAATTTTTGTCCACAATCATTTATCGAGGTTAAAATTAAGTCTACAAATTGAAAATGAATTAGTTACTGGATAATAATGATTAGGATAATCTTGAGATATTGAATTAACAATGCTAAAATATCGGAAATAGCCTGTAATCAGAAAAGATGACATTTTCATACGACTTTTGCTAATTATCATTTGAATGAAAATGTTGGAACTTTAACGTTTCACTATTCAGAAACGTGACGCTCGAATTTTCATCGGTGATTTTGAGGAATCATTAGCTGTACGAATATTATGTGAAGCTTACCAAAATGGTATTTATGGTGAAAATTATGCATGGATTCTACCTGGCTATCATAAAAGTAAGTCTTTTGATCAGTCTAGAGGTCAAGAAGTATCGCCATACATTTGTATCTAATTCGGCGAATGAAAATGTCAACATCTTGAAAACATGTCTATAAAGACTTGGTCATCATGTTAATTGCGAGGATTGTTGTGTTTATATTTTCTTTATAAATTCCTATGCAATTTATAAAAATCAATAGTTGACACCGAAAAAAAAGGTGCAAAATAAATGAACCAATTCATTCATTGGGCAAACAACCAGTGTTTATTATTTCTTTTTGTATTTATTTTGTACAAAAAAAGATCTTTTCATGGTAAACTCTTGTCCAGTTAATAAGGTAACATAGGAAAGCTAAGAAGCCATTTTCCATTCAATGGATGGATCAGATCCGGAAACAAACATCCAATTACGAGCTTTTTAACAGCAACAACGACAATATGTGCTTTGAGAGCTAGAATTACCGCGGTTGCTGGCATTAGACTTATTCTCTCATAGATCCTCATTCACAGGTTTAAATTGTACCCATTCCAAACGGATACGTTTCCCAAGAAATTGATATCGGTAAAGTAGATAGTCTTCCTTCAATTTCATGTCTTTATTGCAATTTGAACCGAGAGTTTTTGGTACGACATTGACGCTTTGTCACGTCCAACGTTAATTATATTACTCAACTAAAAACTGTACTGTACTGAATTCTGAATACAAATGCTATTCTGATCGTTGTAAGTTGTGTCATAGTTCGGAAGTGAAATGTTAAATATAAGAAAAATTGATGTTTAGATGATTGGTGGCATAATGTATCCGGGGTCAATTGTACAGTAGAAGAGCTAGCGCAAGTAATCGAAGGTCATTTTGCAGTAGAATTTTCACCATATTCGCAAAGGCTTGCTCGACTTACCATTGCCAATAAAGTTAGTTCATTTTAGATTATTAGATAAGTATTTGTTACTTAGATATGCCGAATCCAACAGTTTAGCAAATATTGGATACATAAATTCGTTAATTAAATCAATCTTTCACATAAATAAATCAATAAACATCATTGGATTAGAAATTTCCAACTAACTAAAGTTTATAAATGTATCATAGTGCCTGTCTGTAACTACTCTTAAATTAAACGAATTAATTGCTGAGACGAGTAAAACGTATGATTCAGACGGTATCAGCAATTCGGACGGAGCTTGATGCTAGAGAAGGTTCATCACCGGAAAGTGTTTTCAAAGGATATGTGTACGATGGCCTCTGGACACTTGCTTTGGCTATTGAACATGTAGCAGAACTTCATCAACAACGTGAAGGAATTACTTGGATGCCAAACGTGAGCGATACAAAGGAGTGGACTAAATTCAGTGCCGAATTACTTCAAGCTATCAGCAGAACTTCATTTATTGGTGTCACTGTAAGTACATAAGTACTTTCCCCCAAACTTACAAACAATTATTGACCGTTGTCCACTTTATTCTTTGATTACATCACCAATAGATGACCAAATTCCTTTTTTATGATCATATCAATTTATTATTTGTTTGCATTACTTTGATTATAAGCAAGTTAAAGTTTTTTGTATGAATGTATACGTATCATTTCAATGACGTCAGATTATAAATGTTCACATCTTCATGTTAAATAATTTTTAATAAGGATGGAATTGAAATTTGCATTTCGTTTTTTGCTATTATTAATATTCGATTTGTAATTTCAGGGACCAGTTCAATTTGAAAATAATGAACGACTTGGATTAGTTGAAATTTTGCAATGGAGAAATGGTTCGTATCTAATTGCTGGCATATATGATGGTACAGAAGCTGTCCTTGTCCTCAATCCTGCTCTTAAAGGTAAAAAGAACATTTGTTATTTAGTTGAATGGCTAGCTATTACAATTTTTTGATGTTTTGCTAGCATTAAAGGAGTTGTCAAAGTTTTGACCAAAAAAAAAATGAAAGCAAGTTTTAGGCTTTAAATGAACTTAAGAGCATCTTTGATTGTAATTTATGTAAAACTTTTAGATTGGATACCACCATTAGATGCAACAATTGTTGTACGTGAACGTCAATATATATCATTCGTATTACTCATTCTTCTCTCATTACTTGCCACTATCGGTGTAGCAGTAGCAGTTTTCTTCCTTATCATTAATATCAGATATCAAAACCATCGGTAAGTCAAATATATAAGACGTGATAAGAAAGTGTGATAAGAAAGAAAACGTGATTATATAAGACATGATAAGAAAACGTTATTTCATTCATTTCAATCCTTATTATTAAGTATTATAACTTTTAAAATGAACAAAAATTCAAATGTATAAAATCATTTGAAAATATTTTAGCACAAAATTAGGAATTTGAATGAATCTTATGTTGCTCATATATGTTTATTTCATAAAAGTTATCGTTTAACATGCAGTACTACGTTGCATGTCATGCATGCTACGAATGATTTTAGTATCTTTTGATTTTCTTTTTATAGGTATATTAAGATGTCATCACCAAATATGAACAATTTAATCATAGCAGGTTCCATTTGCACTTATATCAGTGTAATCCTCCTTGGTTTCGATACACGTTTCGTTTCACCGGATACTTTTGTTACACTCTGTTATGTATGTTAATTACTTTTTTATTCAATTCATTACAATTTAGCAGTGATAAGTGATTCAATACTGATAAATAGAATTTAACACTGATAGGTAGAATTATCCTACAGATGTGAACAACACTTCTCGCCATACTTTTCAGAATAAACTTAAATTTAAAAATTCTTTGATTTGGTCTCTTTAATTTTGTTTGAAGGGAAAAATATGCATGCATCAAAAAACATCGCGACAAACCGATCTTTCTCCTCTATCCATTTTTCTTCTTGTTACTTTTTAAAAAATTAAAATGAGAAAATGTCTTGCAAGCATATTTTTTTTCTTTTTTTGTTTACTAGAAATCTTCTTTCCGTGGGCAAAATTTACCTGATAGCAAGAATAATTACATTCCAGGTAAAAACATGGGTACTAAGCCTTGGTTTCACTCTAGCATTTGGATCGATGTTCTCAAAAACTTGGCGAGTTCATTTAATTTTTAAAAATATTCGAATGAACAAGAAAGCAATCAAAGATTACAAATTATTCATACTGGTCGGCTTCATTGTTCTCGTTGATTTAATTTCATTAACCTTATGGGCTCGCATTTCACCTTTCACATTTCACGTCAACCAATTAGCTATATTTGTAAGTTATTATCTTCTCTCTTACTCAACCAACTTTAGCTTCCTAATTTCACAAGTAAAATTCTATCTAACCAACTTAACAAAATTTAATTTAATTGATTTAAAAATTAAATTTAATGGTGAATTCCTTCGACATCGTCATTAAACTTTGACAAAATAAGCACAATGCATTGCCATATAAATTAATCCAAGCAATTTTGCTGAAATTGAAATTGAAGTAAAAAGATAAAATTGAATTGATAAAATCGATAACATTGATGAGAAAAATAAAAAACTAATAAAACAAAATTGATGAAATTGAAATTATCCACCTATAATAATACACATCTGTTGCAGTATTCAGATAACAAAATGATAGCACCAGAAATCGAACATTGTCAAAGTGATAATAGCGTTATTTTTGAAGCTATCATATTGGGTATCAAAGGCCTTCTTATGGTTAATCTTCCAGTTACTTTCCTCAGTTCATTTCTTTCCATTATATTTTATTATCATTAATTTGAAATAAGTAATCTTCTAATGAATTCTAATTTCTAGCTACTTGGCTGTTTTCTTGCTTGGGAAACGAGACGTGTAAATGTCCCAGCATTAAACGACAGTAAATATATAGGAATGTCTGTTTATAGTGTTGTCGTAACATGTTTACTTGGTCTTCCACTTGTATACATATTGAAGGTAAAATTTGTCGTAAATTGATGAATTGATTGATCATGTCAAATCACGTTGTTTTTCATGTTTTGAAATTATAGCAATTTTGGTAACACAGTGATAATTGATTCTATCACTGATAAAGATATTTTTTTCTTCATCAAAACTTCATTTTAGGATCGAATAAATGAAGCGCATATATTGGGAAGTCTTTTTATTATATTTTGTACAACTCTAATTCTTTGCCTTGTTTTTGTCCCAAAGGTAAATTGAAATTTTTTTTAAAATAATGTTTTCCGTAGTAGTTTTTTTTGATCCGCTTGAAAAAAGTTTTAATTCGAAGCTTGGAGTTAGATTAATTCATTCCCGAATTTAATTTTCTATTTGGGATTCTGAGGACTGATGTGATATTGATTTCGACACTGAATTATTCATTAGTTTAATTTAGTTCAAACGTTCTTGAGTAAAGCCATCTTTTGTTAGTGAAATCGCAAGCAAATGGAATTCATTAACAGCGACATTTAAGTTTACAACAATATTTACATTTCCGATTGTGGAACTTTTTCGAAATCCTCAAGGCACTGAGTTACGTTATCGACGTGGTTTAGTGAAATCTTCTCTTAGACGATCGGAATCACAACGAGATTCACAATACAAAGAGTAAGTTACTGAAACGTTGATAGAAAATCCAATTTCTCTTTAAACACTACCAAATTCTGTTATCGATAGCAAGATCAACTAACAACTTCGTTGATATTTATCATTCGGTCTTTTCAAAAAAGCGCTGATAATACGCTTACAATGCAATTGCAGTTTCGGACTTCTATCCACAATTGTAAATTGGACCAACTTAACTTTTTTCTTTTGTTTTTCAATCAGTGAAACAAATACTTTTAGTCGAGAGCACTTGCAACGTTTGGAAGAAGAGAACATATTGTTACATCGATATTTACTTCAGGTAAGTGCATCTGACAAAATATGTCAAAAACTTATCATTGAAGAATTGGGGCAGTTAGGTTCCTTCATATTTCATCACTGCTATTACTACTTTTACAGTACTTCCTCTCTTATTATATATCAACTGTTTGAAGGAAAATTTGCTTTATGAAATTTCATCCCTTTGACTCTCTTCATATCATTTCGGCGGTTATTTAAACATTGGCGCGGAAATGTCTTTTGTGGTAGGAGAGTGGAATTTTCAGAAAGTATGGGTTTTAGTGAAACTAAAACTCAGTGATATATATATTTTTTTAGAAGACTAGTATACTGTGGGAGTTGAAAGAGCAGTTAAGACAACTTGGAGAGCAAGAGGATGACATAGTTACGCCGCCAAGTGACAAGAGTTAATTGGGGATTTAAACTGGTTTAAATTTGATTTTCTCATTAACATACGAAGATTTATTGCTATTACACTCATGAAAATTTCTTTCTAAACTTGAGAATCCAATGCAAGAAAAAATAGTTTTAATGTTACTAAAAGACAAAAGGGTTGACGATAAATTGTTTTTCAGGTTGAAAATTTGCCATCCACTTTATTATCAATATCATTACGGGTATTAATTCAAAGAAATATAATGAAGTATTGTCTTCATCTGAGTTATCAAAGGATGCATTTTACAATAAAGTTTTCTTTTATGCATAAAATAATGATTCTAAGACTCTATCTATTCTGTCTACAAGGGGGTCATGTGCCATTTCATCAATTTTGTCACAGTAAGTCAATATCTGTTTTCTCGATGAATGAAGTAAATACCAGGAAAATAAAATTATAACACATAATTAGAATGTATTAGAAGTTAGAAATTGTATCAGCCAAATCAACTGACATTTTTTTAATGCAAATTTCGTATGAGCAGCACAAAACCAAACAATTAATACTAGACTATTAAATAACTATTGATTAATACTATTAGCTGACTGTTAACTAATACTAAGCCAGGTCAGACTACTAATTAATACTGAACAATTAAAATGAGAATGGTTCAAACAGGTGACTTCTAATGGATTATTATGATGTGCAAAATGTGTGCATTGCAATTTGCATTTTAATGCTGCATTATTTCATACTCGTTGTGTTTCCTGATTTGCTCATTTGAATGAAACATATCAACAGTTGTCTTATTTATTAGTTTTAATGCAATTTGTTCGAACTTTATTTTCTTCTCATTTTCTTATCAAAAAAAAAAAGAAAAAATGAAAAAGAAAGTGAGGTAATGCGCCATTGGCATATTGTAACAATTTCGAAGGGAACAAAAAAATAAGAGGAGAAATGACGTAGAGATGAGAGCGGTTGATGGTTAATAGCGCTTAACAATATATTGACATTTTCATTTAGCTATAGTAATATCAAAAGTAGTGCTGAACAACAACAAAATATTACAACGATTTTTTCTTGGAAATATCCTAGAAAGAAAAAAAAAGAAACAAAAAGATCGAAATTTCATCGATTCTTTGGGGAATGTAAAAAAATTTGAAATTTAACTGAAAAATTAAGAATTGAACGCAAAATTGTGCAATATGTTAAACAATAGTAAATTGCACAATTTTAATGAATACATAACAATTAGCATACTATCCAAATAACTGAGAATTGTAGGTCAATAAAATCATAGTGAAATAGATTCAAATCTAAAAACTGTAATCAATAATTGAGTTGAGATAAATTTTAAAATAAACAAAAAAAACTAAAAAATTTCTATTCTTAATAAATAGTAAAATGTTGTCAGAATTTACTAAACTATGATAATTTTCTATTTGATATGGCAAACGAACACTGAAATTAATTTTAAAAAGATCGCAAAATACGCTTATTTCCAAATTTTTTTCCAAGCACATAAAAAAAACTATTAACAGATATTCAATGCTGAAACGAATATTTGGTATTTTAGCCTGACTCACTAAATTTAATATTTCAAAAATTTCCATTTTATTTTTTTAGATTTCAGTTAGCACCATTTATTTAATTATTTTTGAATGACCGGATTTAATTTGCTTGCATTTCTGGTTACTTCTCTTATGAAACTTTTTAAATCTTTGATCATTCGTAACTTATTAAATTACTGCTGTTTTCGTTGCGATACATAAGAGCTCTTTCATCTAGCATCCGATAAATAAAATCTGATTTGATTATTTGAAGAGTTTTTGATGGGTCAATTAATAAAAGGCACTTAATTTCATTGGAAGTTTTATCTGAGAGTAAATTATAAATGGATTTCAACGATTTAACTTTGTTTCAAAATTAAAATTGATCTTAAATTTTTGTCGTCAAAAAAAAATTGTTGAAAAAAAATTGATTTCAATATCATTGAATTTCAGTTATAAAGTTGGCTTTTCAATTTCCTATCCAATCTAACTTACTTTCAAGTATCGGCTCTCAATTCAGGCCATACTTCTTCAATTTGAAGCTTGACGATTAACAATTTTGCAGCGAATACATAAATTAGCTTTGATGGAAAGGAAAGAATTTTAATATCCCTTCAAAAAATCATTATCTGCTCATTTTAATGCGAAGAACGAAGTAAGTTCAAATTAAAAATTCAAATGTCAAGGAATTTAAAGCTTAAAAATCAGGAAGAACGGAAATACTGCCTAATGCTACATTGCTAAGAAGGAATTATAGTTGAAAGTATGTAGACATAGATCTTTTGGGATCTACTAAATATGCAAAGAAATATGGTTAAGATATCCCGTGGAACGAGAATTCTTGTAAACCAGAAAGAGTCTTCAATATGTTTTGTTTCGATCTGAAGAATAAAGAAAATTGGTAATAGTAAAGAAAATAGTACCAAGTTTTCCGCATTTGATGAATAATTTGTCAAGAGGATATGAAAGATTTAATCCTGGTCACTAATCAATCACAGCAAAAGAAGCTGTCAACGTTGCTTATCAATGTAATTGACAACAGGTGGACATTTCATTTGAATGAATTGATAATGCATCATTTGTCAGTTCTCAGCAATAGTTCCAACAAAATATGCAATTATCTAACTTCCAAACATGTGACAGATCTAAAATCGCATTCTTTCGAAACTTTATGATGCCACTCTTTCACGTTTTCCTTCTTATCTCTCATTTCCTTACCTATTTTTTCCAAATTAAACTTATCACTGATGGATAAGACTGAAACGGCTAAGAATTTTCCTGACTAATCCATTATAGTAGTACTGGAACCAGTGAATATCACGTAGATGATAATAATGTCTAAGACAATTCCACTTCCCAAAGAGAAAAAAAAGTTTTATATCCGTTATTCCACACCAATCACTCAATCACAAATTGATTTTACAATTTTCTTTAATTAATCAATTCATGAATAGCTCCATTTGATTTATTTTGCATAAATTAATTTAGAAAAAGGAAGATTTCAAAAGAGGTAAGACACGGCATCAAATATTTATTCTTTCAAGTTAGCTTTAAGTTTAGGTCTTTCTTTTAAGTTTTTTTTCATTTCTTTTTTCTTTAAGTTTAAGTTTGTTGAAACCTGCTTTTTACCTTGAATTTTATTAAAACCATTTGAAAAACTTAAACCGAAGCTATTAATGAATCAATGATTTTCACTAGTGACTCCCTTTTATTTCGATATTCCATTACTTAGTACATGGTATCGATAGGACTGTCGGGAAACCTGGAACCACTTTCCACATTTTAGCGGTGACTCAGCTTTGACATTGA